CATTCCAGCCCTACCTCAAACACTGCAACATGGAAGGAACACAAGAAAACAAGGTGATAGCAGCCATCTACTACTCAAGGTATGTGAACGTTTTCAAAAGAAAAAGGGACCTGATGGTTTAAAGAGAAAATAGGTAGAAGTGAAGGTTTGTGAGGTTACAATATTCTGTAAAGGCAGGTGGTGTGTGGGCACTGGAATGATCTGACAGTGGCTTCCCATATGTAAACCAGTATGTTGATAGCTGTCAGTATATATAGATCTGCTTTTAAATTGCTTGGGGCTTTTTCTAGAGAAATAATGTTAAGGGAGGGATTTGTGGGTTTTTTAAAGAAAATGAATTATTATGAAGGTGAATCATGCTGATAAAAAGGGGTTTTTTTCCTAAATGAAATAAAAGATAATTAAATTCCAAGTACACCATTTTTTCCTGCTATTTTGGGGGTAGTTTATTTTGTCTGTGTGGCTTGTTTCCTCTCCTCCTGCCTCTTAATATTTCCACCTAGGAGCAGAGAAACCATAAAAGTAATGCCCCCCCTCCCCCAAAATCTACGTTCTAAAGCCTCTTTTGCCCCTTTTCCTAATGAAAAGAAGTAACATTCTATAAAGTTGAACTTTTCTTGTAGAAATAATACTGAATTGCCTAGCAATTCCAGCCATGCTATTGCAGAATAAATTATATTCAACTCTAGATACCTAGTGACAGAAAACAACTCACCAAAACCTAGTAACGGCTCAAGATAATGTCCCGAGTTAGGAAATGTAGGAAAGCCTACTATGTAAAAAATATTAAATCCCCAGTTTTGTTACATATTTAGCTCACCTAAATGCTGATCAGATATTTAAGTGATACAAAATAAATCCTCTAATCAAACAGGCCAAGAACACTCTGAGGGAAACCATAAAAACATGACTGTGCACTGCAAATCGTGACAGTCTGTCAGTCTCCCAATAGAAGAAAGAGTAAAGTCCTAAAACCAGACTTTCTGTAGGATGTGATTACTCATGTTCAGAGTGGGAGCAGTGAGGATTTTCCTGCACACCTGTATTTCACCCCAGGGGCAGCAATGCCTAAGGATAATTTTCCTCAGTCCCACAAGTGCCCCATACTTCTGCTCCTTGACTGCAAAAGCATAAATCCATTTTTCCTTCTTCAAATTTATTCCTAAATTGATACCATCTCAATTACAGTGTATTTAGATGCTGCCCACCTCTTTATAAACAAGAATATATTTGTTTCTGCACCTTCCAAATTTCAGCTATTTGTTCATCATTTTGGAACTGCAAACAGTATTTCAAAATTTAAACTCCCTAGCTGTGAAGATGAGCAGTATTCCTTTGCAGTGACTTTGAACCAATACAGATTTGGTGAATGGTATTCTGTGTGAGATACAGAAGGATCTTTAGTGAGATACAGCACTTTAGTCAGTTTTTGCTCTATTTTTTCCTATGTTTATGCAGTTTAGCACATAAGCTGAAACCCACTGTAAATACTGGCATTACTTTCCTGTACATGTCATAAAGCAGCTGAACATCTTGTGAGTGCAGAGCAGTGGTCTAATGAGATTGTTCCTTCTAGACTTCCACTTTCCTGTGGGCAGAAGTGATTTCCATGCTCAGCCTTCTCACCTTCTCCTATCTCCAGAGGAGAAAGGCTAAAAAGCAGGATCAAATCTTCCTTCTGCAAGAAATGTTCAATAGATGGCATAACTTAACCCTGCATTACAGAAGCAGCAATTCAAAGGATTTGTGTCCTTCAACAGCAGGGGATCTCCTGGTGTGAAAAACTCAGTGATTTCCTCTTCCCTGAACTTTTAGGCAAAATTCCCCAAGGGATTTTCCACAGGAGATGATCCAGGTTGTGAGTAACAGGCAGTGAAATGGTCTCTTCAACTCGTCACTGAGCAGCTTTTCTCACCCTGGTTGTGGTGTTTTTTCCATGGGCAGCTGCCTACTTGATTAATCTCATTTTCCCCCGGCCCTCAGCCTTTCCCTGGGCCGTCCAGCTGCGCAAACAAAGGGCAGGCGGACATTTCGGAGTGCTTCCTCCTGCAGTCCCTCCGGGCTGGGCCTGCCTTCGTCCGGCTCGTAAAACAACCCTCTTAACAGCCTCTGAGAAATGTGCCTGTTCTCTATTGCTCAGGTTGAGAAACCTCCACTGGGATCAACTTAAAAAAGCTGCCAGCTGCCACCTGGGAGCCCCCACTCACTGTGACCTCACTGCTATGGATGGAGTGGCTTCCTAAGGATGCTTGTGCCAGTTCGGAAGGTCTGGAGTTAATGTTATACCCCAATCTGAGCTTCTGTGTTTGGTCTCTGTATCATACATGAACAAGTTAAAAAATAAAGGCCATGTAAACACTTTAACAGACCTCTGAAAAGTAAACCTTGAGCCCTTAACATGAATTGTCATTCTGCTAAGGGCTGCTCAGACACATGGAAACAGCACAGCTCTCACCCATGGAAACATCAACAGGGGAGACATTTCAGCCTTCGCAGCTTTTTGAGTTCGCTAAGAATGCTGAGCTCAGGGACAAATCCTGCCTCTACTCTGCACAGCCTGTCACACCCAGGCTGACCTGGAATTGTTTCTGGGATGCTGCGTTTGTGCAGTAAGGACTCCGTGACTCCGGGATGTGCGATGAGCCTCATGCAGCTGGACCTGCCCACACTGATACGGGCGGAGCACCGTGTCAGGCACGTGTGACCCTTCAAATACTGTGGTAAAATTGTGCTAATTATTCACTTTAAAAAATGTGTCTGGAACATATCCATTCTAAGGTTCATATTTCAAAAGGGAAAGTAATAAAAATTTAAAATAATGTCTAATAAATGTAGCACAACACAGGCAAGGAAAGATGAAATCCCTGGATTTTAAAGTCATATATATTGGCCAAAAACAATACCAGAAATTTCCATAATAATTTGTTTCTGCAGAAAAAAAAAATATTTTCAGACTTTATTGATTCCCCCAGTAAAAAGATGTCAAAAAACTTATGACAGAAAGATACCAGATCAGTGTTGGGGAGGGGGAAAAATCAGAATCCTGAAGGAATTCTGAGGGGTAAGAAGCAGAATTACTGCCAAAAAACATTGCTAAAAGATGTCAAATTGGTCCCCAAAAAAATAAACAGCCTTTCAGCTGCTTCTCCGCAAGTATCACAGCTGCCATGTTCGCTAGGAAATAAAACACATTTCCTCAGCTGTTGTTCCCATTCTCCAAACCACCCAACTCCATCCCTGGTCCCCCCTCGGGGGGCCGTGTCGGCCTTCGCGTTCCGAGCAAGTCGGGCCCTGCCGCCGTGCCGTCGCTTCCGGCAAGATGGCGGCGCCCATGTCGCTGCCGGGCGGGCGCCGATGGCGGCGGGTCCGGGGCTGCGCGGGCGGGCCCTGCCCGAGCTCCGGGACATGCTGCGGCGGCAGGAGCGGCTGCTAGCGGACAGGTGAGGGCGGGCGGGGCAGGCAGCAGAGGACGAGCCTCTCCGTACTGCGGGACCGGAGAGGCCGCACGGACCGCCCGGCGCTCCGGCTGCCGGGAATACAGGGAGTGCGTGCCCCTGTGGCCCCGCGGGCAGAGGGAGGGAGCAGCTGTGCTGTGAGGGGAGGCTGAGGGAACTGGGGTTGCTCCGCCTGGAAAAGAGGCTTCGGGGCGACATAATTGCGCCTTTCCGGTATATGAAGGGAACTTGCACGAAAGATGAGACAAGACTATTTACAAGGGGGTGGAGTGACAGAACAAGGGGGAATGGCTTCACACTGAAAGAGAGTAGGTTTAGATTAGATATTAGGAAAAAATTCTTCCCTATGAGGGTGATGAGGCCCTGGCACAGGTTGCCCAGGGAAGCTGTGGCTGCCCCACCCCTGGAGATATTCAAGGCCAGGTTGGATGGGCCTGGAGCAACCTGGGAATAGTGGAAGGTGTTCCTGCCCATGGCAGGGGGTAGGACTGGATGATCTTTGAAGTCCCTTCGAATGCAAACCATTCTGTAATTTTGTGATTCACTCAGTGAAAACACGTGGTTGGGCTGCGGGTGCTTTGCATCTTAACATTTTCAGAAATCTGGAATGTAAATAAGAAGCTGATATCAGAATGTAAAACCTCCCCCACTGGCTATTCTAACAAAACACTTCTGTATCTCAGATTGAAATAGGATTGTTTACACTATGGTGTTTTTGTTTTTTTTTTTTTGGTCTTAGGAGGTTCATTTCTAGGCTTCCAGATAAGGGTAAGAAGATCTCTGATTTTGCTGAAAAGCTGAAGCTTGCCATTTTGCAAGAGGAGGAACTAGCCAGGACTGCTGAACTGTTATGTGCTGTCAGGTTGGAGTTTCAGGCAAAACAGGAGGAAATTAATACAAGCAAACAGGAAAACAAAGATGCACTGAACTGTGAAGATTCATCAGACTTTAATGAAAACTCTAATATTAAAGAAATTTCTGAGATTCCTTCCAAAAAGCAGGAGGCAGAATGTATTGAGGAAGATGCCACAAGTACAGCTTTGGAAAATCAAAGGACTCAGAGGAAAAACGATGAAGTAAAGACTGTTAGAAAAGATCAGAGTCACTCTGTTGAAGTTGTCTCCACGTCAGCCACGAGCAGTCATCTGAAAAATGATCAACACATCTCTCAGAGCAGTACTGAGAATGGTACAGAAAGTGCATCTACTTTGAATGACAGCAAAGACACTCTGGTTGATGCCTTTCAAAAAATTACAATTGTAGATGGAGATAACAGTGAAAAAATATTGGAAAAAGGGCAGAATGTGGCAAAACATAAGGGCAATGTGTTTGGAAGCCTGTATCCCAAGACACCACATTACATTGAAGTTCTGGAGGCTCGAGCCAAGAACCCAGTCATAAAGAAAAGCAAATTTAAAACAAATGCGTAAGTATTATGGGATAGAAAAACCTTTTGTGAGATAATGTGTATAAAATTGGAAATGGTACAGAATAAGCATGATGGCTTTATTTTCTAGTCATAATTAAAGAGAGTCTCATGACACAGAGAGTTAATATGTTTCTCTTTAGCATTAAGTGCCACAGAATCTCAGTATTGAGCAGTGGCCTAATTCTACCCATTTGAAACAACTGTCATGAACCTTCACAGAACTTCATAGCCTAAGCTGCAGAACTATGAAACAATTGGCAAAACTCCTGTATATCAATTCTAGAATGTGTAGACTTTAATAGCAGGAAGTCTTTTGCTTTTCCTACACTTCTAGGGAAGTTACAGTTCACATTGTCTGTACTGGGAGCAATTTGTACTTCACGTGACTCCCAAAGCATTGGTACTTCAGCTTGCTAATAAATTGCCATACCTGGTTTGTTCACTGCCAGGTGTAAATTGTGTTATTGTCTCTCTGCAGAGAAACAGTTGTAGTTTTTCTGAGTGCTGCTTGTTTTTCATTTGTGTGTGTTTTCATAGTAGTTCATATTTCTTTTCGACTCTTGCACGTTAAAAATAAGTTTTGGAACTGAAGGTGTTCAACGTTGTGCTGCAAGTTTGGGTCACAACTTAGGTGTGTTATGTCTTCCAGATTATCAGGAGAGCACAGTGGGTCATCTCTTGGTTCCTCATCCAGTCGATCCCCTGGGGGACTTGGCTCTCCAATTTCTGCTGAAGAAAGACGACTCAGAGATAAGAAACATTTGGATGATATCACAGCAGCTCGACTGCCACCACTTCACCACTCCCCTGCTAAGCTCTTACCCATAGAGGAATCCATAGCAATTCAGATACAGCAAAAAGAAGCTTATGAGGTATGAATTTACTGTTTGGTCTGAAAAGTAATTATAGCATCAGGATCACTCCTAAAAAAGAAAAGATAAAGGGATATTTTGATGCTGATGAATTGAGATGGGCAGACTTTGAGGAAAGGCACTTTGTCTTGTATTTTTTCTTTTAATGATATAATTAAAGAATTTATTAATGCCTTCTGAAACTGTTGTTCCTACATTAGACAAAATCTTTTTGTGTTGATATGCTAAGCTTACTGCACTTATTTCACCTCTGACTAGAAATTAAATGTATACCTTGCCTATTAGTCTTTAAAGAGTTTTTTGCCCTTGCATAAATGAAGGCCTAGCAGTATTTGTTATTCTTATAACATGCAAGTATCTGAGTTTGCCTTTATTTATGCTGTGTCTGAAGAATCCAAGTTCTGAGGTTCTTCAAATGCTGTTGTAATGGATTTTGACTTTCTAGTTAGTGTCAAGCTAATGTTTAAATTAGACACTATTGTACAATTGTTTGTTGCTGCTTATTGTTTTAAAAGCACTTGCTACTTTCATCATCTTTAAGGGAGGCAGTTTATTTGGAAAATGGAGACATTCTTTGCTGAGGTTGCTGAAAGACCAGCATTGCTTTTGCTACGTGTTTACTGTGCACAGTTGCTCTTTTATGTGAACTGATTTTGTTCTGTAAAAACTGACATTAGTGTATCAAAGGTGAGGGCTGCCACATGGGGAATCTTAACTCTTATAAAAGGGTCTTCAATAATACATAATAGCACAGTTATGTATAAGTGTGAAAAGAAACCTGGAATTTCTTTGCTAGTTACTAAAACTTTTAATCAAACCCACTCTGGAATTGCTGATATTATGATGTCAAATTTATACTTTAATATATTAATTTTTCTGTGACAGTGACAGATGAACACTTTTTCTAACTTGTGTCCTTTTTTTTTTTTCTTATGCAGGAAATGCAAGCCAAGCTGGCAGCACAGAAGCTTGCAGAGAGACTGAATATAAAAATGCTCAGGTTTGAACCAGAGGGAGAGGCCTCAATGCAGTACAGAGAAGTGAGAGATGAAGACTATTTTTCGGCAGAGGACTGAATTCAAGAAGGGATGTCTGAGGATGCACCATGTAACTGATCTTTGTGCAGTACTTCTTAAAACCCAAACCTGAATATTGAGAATGCTTGATCTAATAATTTTTTTCTTAAAATTTTCACATTACAGCTATAGGAAGGGTTCAGTGTAAACCTCATAAATATACTTGTGACTAAGTGGTAACCTGAGTGCTATTTGGGCACTGTTTTTTCAGCACTTGGGGCTGTTAATCCTTGTGGAATGCCCCACAGTGTTCAGCTTTAGCAAAGTGAGCTCTTTAATACCCTTTTGCAGGCTATGATGGCTCACCTACAAGAGGAGGTTTCTTCTGTGCAGAAATGTGGTTGCAGAGGGCACACTTGTCCATAAAGTAAGCTGAGGTGCCTGTGAACTGCTCACACATATGAAAGCTCTTGTCTTGTACAAATGGGAGATACTTCTTTTAATATTTTCTTGCTTTTACCTTGTGGTGAAAATACATACCCAGACAGCTACAATAAATCCACAATCTTTAGGCTGTAAGTCAGCTTCTTAT